TAATACTATATGTGTACTTGTTGGTTTTAGTACACATGCAATAACATTTTATGTTTATCTAATTGCTTCTTCTACGTTTCGCAAAAATGTTAAAGAAATGCTTTTAAGAAATCATCAAATTCGACCATTAGGTAATGTTGATATTGTCAAAATAACAATAACACAGCCAGATCAAAGAGTAACATCAGCCATTTCTTAAGACTATATTATTATTGACAGTTTATTTAAAAACAATTACGTTATTATTGATTCTCTTTAAATAAAAATGTGTATGATGTAAAATAAGTTTTATTTTCTTTGAACATTTCATGTCATCAAGTTTTCTTCAAAATTAACGATTGACCGCGATTCATATAAAACTGCTAGTTCAAGCAGTTTATTCTCTTTTTCTTTTACCAACTTTGCATTAATTTTTCTCTTAGTTTGTTTTTGTCTTTCTTGAAGACGCTGATTTTAATCTTGTGAAGTGCATTATGCTAGATGGAAGTATATCTTCTTTGTTTATTGAGCCTCCAGGCTAACAAATGTTTTTATGGTACCATCTTTACTAAATAATCAAACTTGAAAATTAAACCAAAATAGCCGATGTGACCGGCACAGGTCACTTGAACGTGTTCAAAATTATGCGAATTTACGATTTGTACTGACATCTAACAATTTTTGTCAGACTGACAAATATATTCATGTAGCGAGATATAAAAAATAATTCAAGCAGAAGAACGATGATTAACCGAACTGTGAACCCTCCAAGTGAGAGAACGGTACGTAGCGGGTAATCGTCGGTTTTTGACTGATTATCATAGTGCGAAGATATGCTTTTCTCACGTGTTGTCATATCGATAAAGGTTCACATTAATAGTACATATATTCGAAAACTAGGTCAATAGTGGAGCCAGCAGTTTGAACTGTGGAAGGTTTAGTTCTGCTCCTCCTCACCTACGGACCTTTGAGTCCCCGAGCAAAATTTTCAAGGAACAAAAAACATCTTTAAAAGTCTCGCTAGAGGTTCAAATGTCCTTAGGGTGAGCTGAGCACTTTCTGGCTCTGTCTTCTCCCGACTCCACCACTGATCTAAATCTATTCTATACAAATATTTTAGTTTTTTACGAATTATTATAACAGAGATACAAGTTAAACCAAAATTAAAAAAGAAATTTTCAATTCATACTTTTAGAATTTGTAATGTCTTATACAAGATACTGCTTGAAGAAAGATTAACAAATAGAATTTATTTAACATCTGGATCGATCACTTGCGGCAATGGATTGAAGCTTCTTTTTTCTTATCATGTGGTTAACATTCTATGAGTATAGATTATCTGATCAAATTTGTAACATTCATAATTCCAGCAGTGTCCAAGTTCCCGACTCGTGGGAACTTGGCCAGGTCTGTTAGAATAAATCTAAATGTTTAGTGCATGTACTGTGAATATGAGTTTTAATCAGTATGGAAATATTTAAGAAAATAAAATTGCTTACAAGAATGAAAACTTATTTTATAATTTTTATGTGCGATTGCGCAAGGCACTCCCTTCATCCCTATGAAATATTGATCTTGGATCATATATATTCAAAGCGCATGAAATTTTCAGGATATGTTGGGACTGTAGTGAAGAAATTATGATGAAATTTTTAGCGTTATACTATGATGTTTTCGAGAGATATTCAAGAAATAAGAATGAAAAATAACTTATTTGGCAAGCTAAAATTCTTTCTAGGCCTTCATTCTATATACTTAATCTTTTGTTGTTTGAAAAAATATATCAGGATGTAGGGCATGACGCAAATTTCTTTTTTAATCATTACTTTTTAAATAGAGAAAACAGATAAAATGTTTAATGTCGTTAAAAAACCTCTCAAACTATAGCGCTGTAATTTAAAAAGTACCCATAGACATAATAGTAACAAAGGTTAATTTAAAAAGTACCCATTTATATAATAGTAACGAAGGTTAATTTAAAAAATTAATTCCGTCATGAACTGCATCTTGATATGCAAATAGAGAAAAAGCGACAAAGATTTTCCATTTTATCTGAAGAAAAAACATATTTTTTCAAACAGAAAATGATAGAAATTTTTAGAAAAAAACAAGATGTCAAATAAGAAATCATGTCATTTATAAAAAACCAAATCCTGAGCTTTCTTCCTATTGATTCATCCCAATTTTCATGCTTTTGACATAAATTAACTTTTTTTGAGGAGGAGAAGGACAGATGAACTATGTCAGAAAGGATTTTATTCTATTAATTTTTTGCATCATTTCTACTTCCCCATTGTGTTTGCCAGTAGCAATGTTGTACGTTTGTTCGTATTACCACCAGTACACTGTGATTGAATGACAGTCAGAGGATAATCGACCATATAAGTATCAAATTACCGTTGGTTGATTATCGATATATCAATGGTTTTTTTTGTCACTACCGACAAATATCGCTGATATAGTGCATATTATACCGAACTGCCTACATACGATTTGCTGAGAGTTTTTGTCCCATTTGAATTATATGGGTATTTATTTTATGGATCGTGCCTATGAAAATTCATTTCTTATCAATAGAACGAAATTCATAAGGGGATTAGATCAAACTAAAATATGTGTGAAATGATTGTTTTTTCAATAATCCGACGTTATATACCCATGTGAAAGTGATAAATAATCCATTGTGTTATACAAAAGAGAAATATAAAAACTAAGAGCCGCTTCAACAATGATAATATCAGGTTACGTTTTTCAAACCCAGAGAAATGTGGATCGTTCTTGAAAGGAAATACAGTATACGAGGCATCGAGTTGATTAAACTAAATCGCGAATTAATAGAGATACTAAATGTACATAACTTGTACCTAATTTATCTTCACTTTTTTTTCTCAAAATTTTACTCTCAATCAATTTAATCATTTACATCATCTTTCATATTTTACTCATCTTAATCTAATTCAATGTGCTTATTATTTAAACGAGAATGATCTTTTATGCTTAATAAATAATATTTGGAGTTTATCTAAATAAATATATTGTAATATTGATAATTTTTCGATAGATCAAACAAATTTTCCTCGAATGATACTGAGATCATTAACAATTGAATATTTGTCTATAAGAAATGTTCATTGTAATTTAAATGATTTATCATATTTATTTAAACATACACGTTAACTTAAAAAACTTTATTAAAATATTGAATGCAATTTTAAAAATGAACAACTTCATTTAATATTTTCATCAATTATTTCATTAAATTTAATTGTTGAAGGTTGAAAATATTCAATTGAAAATCTTTTACAAAAACTACCTAATTGAATTTCTTTAGCACATCAATTATCACATGTCTATTTGAATGGATACGAATGGAAAGAAATTTTTCATAATCATTTAACAAATATAAAAATTTTTCAATTAAAAATGAATTTTGAATTTAATCAAGAAAAAGAAATTAATTTATTACTTTATTCATTTCGAAGTTCATTTTGGATTAATATAACGGGTGGCCCAGATTAAATGGACCTCTCAGTATTTTGACTATAACTTTTTTTCTTTTTGGTCTCTAGAGCTAATTGTTTTTCCAAAAGATGCGCCGTCAAATTCTCTGTAAAATCATAATCAAACTTATTTGTATAGAAAGTTAAGGAAAAAAATTAAACGAAGATTATCCGACACATTCAAAGTACCCAACTTTCAAAGCTCACGGATGTCTCATAAGTGTCCGATGTTTGTATCTCTTTTTTCTATCGCCAAGCACATTATTTTAGAAGTAAAGTATATCGTACGATGCAACGTGAAAAGCTCCACAAGTTACATTAAAAACCTTATTTTATGCAAACACTCTTTGTTTTCAAAATGGACAAAATTCTATACGACCAGTTTTCGTCGCTGCGAACAAGATCATTTTTGGTTGCACAGAGCTTTGCTTATTATAAAAACAAAAGATGCATATATATAAAATAAACTGTTCTTTGTAGATTGTAGAGCTTTTCACGCTGCATCTTGTAGTATATTTTCTTTTCTTTTAATACAACATATTAGGCGATAAAAAGATGAAATAAGAAAAAATGAATTCATAGTGTACCAAAAACTGATCTTGCTCGTAGCGTCGAAAATTGGTCGCATAGAATTTCGTCCATTTTGAAAACAAAGAGTCCATGTATAAAATAAGGTTTTCAATGTAACTTATAGAACTTTTCACGCTGCGTCTTATGGTATACTTTTCTTTTCAAATAGACGTACTTAACGATAAAAAAAAGAGATACAAACACCGGTTAACTTTGAAAGTTGGGTACTTTTAATGTATCGGATAATCTTCGTTTAACATTTTTCCTTAACTTTCTACACAAATAAGTTTGATTATGATTTTACAGAGAATTTCGCGGCGCATCTTTTGAAAAAACGATTAGCTCTAAAGACCAAAAAGAAAAAAGTTATAGTCAAAATACTGAGAGGTCCATTTAATCTGGGCCACCTGTTAGATGAATCTTTAAGGCTCTGTCGTTTAGATGATTACAGAATTCGAGATGGTTTCAGAGTTACGTTGATACGTGTTTATAACTATTGCCCGAGCTAAATTTTGAAATTCACCTCTGTTCATTTGCTATAGGAATATTATAGTGCTTTAGATAAGAATAAGTCTGAAAAACAAAAAGAAATATGAATCAAATCTTGAATCATCTGGGACAAATGTTATTGATTTTCTGATTGAAAGTCAGCTTCAAAGTAAAACGTTTAACAAGTTTTAAATTTGTTTTTCCATTCAAATTCAACAAATATATTGAGAAAACAGTCTCTCTACTAAATAATTGATGGAAATTTTCTTAATTTTTGTGAATTATATTTGCAGTATTGAAGCATTTTTCTAATTGTTAGTGTCTATGTAATAATTCAATTTGAAGACAGAAGACTTTGGCTCATTTTTCCATATGACAAAAATTCAATTTTTAAAATGTTTTTTTTTTTTGCAAATTTGAATTTTCTAACAGAAGAGCAAGAAACTTCAATAGACATTCATTTTAACAAACCTCATAAACAAGTCCATCATCATCCCATACAGCATATACATGTGTTTTGGGTTCAATAGGTCGAATAGTTGACAGTTGTGTTGATGAAGATTTTGAAGAATTAGATCGATCTGTTAATGTTGGCGATGGTATTTGAATTGTTTGAGCATATTCAACTTTAACTTGTGCTTTAGTTGATCGTTCTTGTAAAATTCTAATCGCATTTATTTGATCTTCTAAAGCCTACGAATGAAGATGAAATAGTATATTATTAAAATTTTGTTTGTTATTACTGTTAGAAGCTGATTATAACGTTTATAATGTAATTTACTAAGATGTTCAATTCTTTCTGTTAATGGATCGAGTTCATGAAGAATGTCTAAAAAATTAAATGAATAGAAAAATAGAAGATTTCTCAAGTGAGATGCATACTTTCAAGTCCAGTTTGGGACACAGGTGGCGATGGCGGTGGTGGTGGTACTTCTGTTTCTTTGAGGATTAAATTCTGATTCATTACAGATTTTTGACTAACGAAAAGAGTTTAATGAAACTGTGTCACAAAAGAAAAAGAAGAAGCTTACTCAATGTTTTGAAGATAAAGAACACTTCTTTGAAAAAGTCCTAAAGTAATTCGAATCATATCTTTTCGATGAACATAAATCTAAAAAACCTCTTTTGTTGAATTTCTTATTTTCATCTCTGAATTCCTACTTGTTTTGAACTTGGATCATATATTTGTATCATATATAAATTAGATGGTAAAACATATAGTGATGGAAGGCACAAAACTAAACCTGGTGCCCAATATTCTTCCGTTTCTTTGATTTGACGAACAAGTACATAATCATGTACAAATAAACTAAGTTGACTATTTGAATTGTTTATGGGTAAGAGAGTATGTCCACTTGTTTCTTGTTCAATATCCATATCAAATAGAACAATTGTTCTACCATCTTGATTTTTTTGTATTGTGCCCGTATAGAAATAACCATCGCCATCATAACGACACATAACTCGTTGACCGATACTTCGATTCATTGATGATTTTCGTTTTACAATTTGTTTTTGTTCAACTTTTTGTTTTGGTTCAGTCTAATGAAAAATATTCTCTTTAGTTTATGGTTTTAATTTAAAATAGAAAAATTCTACATCAGTTCGTTTTTGATATTGACGTAAATCAGTTGAAATTTGTAAAAATTTTATAGCACGTTTTATTTCAACATCCATACGCATGACTCCTTGTAAAGCTGATTCAGCTGCAGCCTCCTGTAAAGCATTTTTTAGTAGATCTTGAGTTTTTTCATTATAAGTAGCAGGCTTTTCTAATAGACTGTTAAAACCAAAATCAAAGAAAAACCAAAAGAAATTTTATAGAAAAAAAGATTCTCTATATACTAACTTATTTTGTTCTTTCTTAGTTAATTTTCGCCATGCAAATAATTCCAATGCGCTAAAAGATAAATCATAAAATATTTAATTGTGAGATTAAACATTAGTACCCCTCATTTTTATGTTCTTCTTTAGTTATTTCTTGAGCATTTCTATGATTAATAGAATGTTTATAATAACAAATAGAATGATCAAATGTAGTAATGACTTACTTATATTGATCTTCTTTTGATAAACTAACCCAATAAATATGTGGACCAAGTCTAAATAAAATAATTAAACATTAGATACCTCAAGAAGAATTTTATTCTATTAAAATATCTTCATTCTTGCTAAGGTCAATTTAGAGTCGTAAGAATATGCCGTATATTTAATAATAGTTAACAGAGTCAAATATCCTTAGGGTTGATAATTAGTGTTATTAGTTGATCAAGATTTTAATCCAAATTTTATCTTAATCTATTTCATGCAATGTTATACAAACTCTGTCGACTAGAACAATTATTTTAGAGATTCTCAAATAGGATAATGTCATTTATCAATGATCTTATCTGTACTTTTATAAATCACTTACCTTTGTTTATTTTCATCATCTAAACATTTCCAAATAAATGTCGAAGTAAATCTTAAAGAATAGAATCAATCATTTTATATATATAATTGTATATTATATCTTACTGATAATAATCACTAATTAAGTCTCTAAGGTTGCTTTCGTATTGTTCTAAATTAACAGCATAATGATTAACTAATCGGAATTTATTAACATATGATGCATATGTTAATGGTAAAATCTAAATATGAAAACAAAAAAATGATTTTATTGAATATAATTATATATAAATTCTTACATCATCCCAAACTTTAGCAAGTACATAACGATCAATAACTTGAACATGATGTGGCTGTTTTACTGTTACTGACATTGGATGAAGTACATCAAATATAGTTAAATGTTTTGAAACTAAACTATTTCTTTTTAAATATGATTTTACTTCGTCAAGTGGTGCTCTATTTATAAAAATATATATTATGAAATAATTTTATAACAGGAAAAACTTTACGAAAGTTTTTTTGTTGATTGTATTAAGACAACTAGAAAAAAAAAAGAGAATAATAAAATCATGTGTTATTATAGTAAATATAACTGACCTTGTTGTTGTTCTTCTTCATTTTCTACAAATGATGTATTTTGTCTTTTTTTATCACTGTTTCTTAAATATTCTTCTGTTTCTGGTAAAAGCCATTGGCTATAATTTAAATTATTTGCATTTGTTTGTTCGAATAATCGTGTTGCTTAAAAGAACTTATATTAAGTGTTTCAAAAAAAAAAAAAAGGTTTTTTTTCTTTCGGATTACAAGTGTACCTGATTTAGTTTTTCGTCTACGATTTGAACACATTGATGAACGTTTTTCCCGATCTATTCTTTGTGACATGGTAGCTATTAAAAAATTAATAATTTTATTTTGTCGCTCAGAATAAAAGAAACACTAATAGTGTGCATCGTTCTCATAACAACGTCAATAAATTGCAGCAAAAGAAACATTCTGACAGAAAGCAAAATTTTCTTTTCTTCTTCAGAATCTTTGCTGGTTTCGATTTCAAAGGTAATAAAAACTGTTGGGAAAAAAACGACGAGATAAGCAAATTTACTTTTCATTATAGAATCGATACCCATTTAGATGCATTTTATTACTTAGAAAAAAAAACGTCGTTGTGCAATGATGAATGGTAAGAAAGTTTGATTTTGTGATTGTCAAATTATAAACATGTGAAAATAAGAATTCTAGTAGATTCATAGGATGTTTTATAGGAGTATCATAAAGATAGAAACTATTTTTTAGTATTAACAAGAAACTTAGTAAATCTTGAAAGTTAATCGCATTATTAGATATAATGTTGATATGTAAAGTAAATTTAGAGAGGGTTGATTTTTCTTCTTTAATTTTATACGTAAAACTTCTTGAAAGAGTATACTTAGTTATATTGTTCAAGGACTTTAGTTTTTATTACATGTGCAAAATATGGTTTTTAAAGTTGTTACAGCACGATTGAACTCGCAAGTATTTTCTTCTATACAACAAGTTATACGGGTTACATAAGAGATGTATCAAACTCAATGTCCGCGTGTCTTTTAATCAATATAAAGACAGTCAATTCTTATAATAAAATCATAAAAATCTTCGTGAATAGATATGGTTAATATTCACTTACGACTACCCGATTGAAATGTCATATCAACTGTTTGATAATTTCGAAATGGTAGTGAAACTGAAAGTTCATTCACTTGTAAACTTTGATATGTTGTTTGCGCATTATCACGTGACCATGTACGACTCATACATTCATCACGTAAATCAGCTACACGTTGTAAATCTTTTTCACCATGAGCTAATTCTTGTTTAAGATAACTAATATCTTCACTCTATATAAGAAATAAGAGCAAATTTATATTTAATAAAAAATAAATAAACAAATAAATGACTTCAGGTATTTCAATTGATGATTCATTTTCAAAACCATAATTAAATGCATGAAAACGTCCACCTGTTTGTTTAGCTAAATCAAATAAAAATTGATTTGCTGTTTGATCGTTACAATTAAAAGCTATTGTATGAATTGGAAGTGCTTGACGATATTCAACTTGTGAAAGAATATGTCGTTCATTCTGAAAAAAATTAAATAAAATTCTTTTATAATCTTGTATAGCTTTAATTAAAAATTTACTTGATCAGGTCGTCCATCAGTTAATAAATAAATAGCTTCAGTACCAGAATCAGCAAGTGCATAACGAATTGCAGCTAATGTATTTGTTGATCCTTCAGCATGTAGTCCATCAATCCATGGTTGAAGTTGAGAATGTGTTATTGAATCATTTACTTTTGTTAAACGATCACGCCAAGGATAAATTGTTGTATTAAATGATACCATATTAATACGTTCTTTACCAAATAGTTGATCCTAAAATATATATATATATATATATTTGTAATACAAAAATTAATATTGGTTTAATACTTGGACTAATAAACGAAGTTTTTCTTTGAGAAAAGTCAAATGATTTTGCATGCTTTTTGATGTATCAATTAGAACATATATATTGTTTTCTATTATTGTACCGAAAACATCACGACTTCCTTTTTTTAACCATTGTAATCTAGAAATCGAGAAATATGTTATTTAAATTTCTCATTATTAAGTATTCTATTCTATCTATTATAAATTTACCGTGCTTTAGTTTTTTCAAGTAAAGCTCTCATTCGTCTTTCATAATCGCTAAAATCAATAAATCAGTAAGTATATATAAATATATGTACATAAGTATGAATTTTATTATCATACCGATGAAATTCTGATGTAACATATACATGTCGAATTGTTCCATCTGGCCAAGTAACATGAGCAAATTGATCACAATATTTTGCATTGATTAATTTGTCTTTGGAGATCTAACAATCATATAAATTATTTCATGAATTGTGAAGCAAAAACGAGAACTAAAAAAGCTCGAGCTAATGAGGAAACAATCAGAACTGATACCCGCCATATGAGCTCATGTTAGGTTTATAAAAAGGTTTAGGTAAGACTAGAAAAGTCCTAATAAAATTCGTGCTCAATGGATCTCTAAAGTCGAGATATGACAGTTTTACTGAATTTTTCATCCAGCTTTAAGTATTTGCTGAAAAAACCTAATCACAATATTTCGTTATGAAATTTCGTCCATATACAGGTCGAATGACTAGTAGAGTGTCCTGAAGATTTCAGCCGAAATGAATGTTTATTTCTCAAGATATTGTGTTTCCATAAAATGGTCGTTTACCACAAATACGTCACAAAAATTGAGTTTACCTGAAAATTCAATATTTCGATAAGGAAAAATTCTTTTTGCTAAAACTATCAGGATATTATACTGCTTATTCGATCTACTTATGAGGCAGACTTCAGATCGAAGTACTATTACTTGATTTTTCGAAAGGGACCTAAATCTGCATAAAAAAAAGTTCAATAAAACGGTCATAACTCGGTTTCAAGTGACGGGTATAAGTTTAGACAGTTTCCTCGTGAGAATAATGGTTACGAAGACTAAAGAACAGTTCCACTTTCTGTGCTGAGTTGCATAGTTCTACAAATACAAAACGTTTCTGAAATTGTTCGACATATTCTTATCATGAAAGGACGCTTTTACATTAGTCTTTTATTCTTGATATGTAATTTGCTAAGAACAAAAAACTTCACTTACAGCTGGAGTATAATCATTTTTTCTATTAACACCATCTGGTGATTTTAATAAAGTAACAACTCCATCGCAATGTCGTAAAGCAGCTGATTGAAGAACAGAAAAGAAATCTAACTTTTGTGCATCTATTCCATAAATTTTTAACCAATCTATTGATGCCATATCTTTTTCATCATTATTAAATAATGCTGATGATTGTATAACAAGACTTCGTTGTAAATTATTTTCATTTTTATTTATTTTGTTAGACAAAGTAAGTGAATCTAATGATTTTGTTGCTAAAATTAAAGAAAATCTAAATCTTATTTCGATTTATGAAAAAGTTCTTTTTTTACTGTCAATTTTTTGTATTGGATTCACGTTTTCATCTCGTACAAATCCAAGAATTTTTTCTAAGCGATCAATTATATTTTGACATTGAAGTATTTCTTTATACATTAATGACGTATCATTTGGGTGTTCAGTTTTAGGTATTAATGCATTTATACCAAATTGTAATTTATTATCTTGTAATTTAATTCGTGTTGGATCATTTAAATTTGATGGCACTTTTAAATCAATTATTTCATTGTTAATTTTATATGACATATAACTATTAAAGAGAAAAAGAAATTAAGCAAATAAATAATTTTTTTTTTTATTGATTCATACCTGCCATCAGCAGTTTGAGCAATAGATTGAAGAAATGTTTCTGTATCGTTATTATGACAAAATAATGAAACAACATGTATAGGTATAGGCGCATTTGATGAAAGACGTGTTTTAACAATATTATCTCGTAACATTTCACGTGCTAAATCAGATGAATTACCTTCACTTATGAAATAAATACTATGAACCTTAATGAAAAAAAAAACATACTTATTGAAATTTAACGAAATAAAAAAATAAAAAAAATATTTACAGCATTACTAAATGCTTTAAGCATAGCTTCACATGTTGCACTTATTGATATTTTACTTCGAGTACATTTTCGATTAGATATCCAATCAATCTAAATAAATAGTATGAAACGTGAATAAGTAGGCAATTATTTAAAATTTTTTGTTATTTTATTTGGTAATTTAAGAGATCAATTGATTGTATAAATTAAGGATATGGTCTTTATTTGAGTAGATAAAACAAATAAATGTAACATTTACTAAAAAACACTTATTTTCATTTAACAATGTTTATATATGAGAAAATTAATGGAAACTTTGATGAAATGTATTTCATATGAGTCCAAATCCGACATTCATTCTAACCGACTACAAAAATTAATGTTTGAATAATTAGATAAATAAAAAACGAAATTGTTCATTGACTAGCTTTAGATAAAACTTCGTGTCTAACATTGGATTATCGATTATTTTTACATTTTTTATGCTGAGAGAACATGAATTTCTAGTGATCATATATATTTAATGTTCATACATATTTAAGTCTAAGCTTTGTCTGAAATCACGATTTTCGTCAAAAAATATAGTTTTGAGATTTTGATGCGATAGAATAACTGATCATGTTTACTTCCAAAAAAGAATAATATGATTTACCGAACGTATTGTGCTTTTTCACAGTTTGTTTCGTATCCCTTTTTGTTAAGAGAGAAGCTTAGGCTCCTAGGTCAAACTCTTTTCCGCGTTTTTCTCAAAGTAGATTTTTCAATTTTTCTTGTTTGTTATGTCAAAGATTTCTCGGTCGTTTTAATTGTGCTTGACAACTAAACAGAGCAGAAATTTTCATTTTCAAAATCTTCTTAGAGAAAATTTCATTAGAACTCAAGAAACAATATTCTGAAATATTGAACTTTATTAAGTTCTAGCGGCAAGTTTTAGCTACATTTTAAAACCGATTCGAAATCTGTATGATTAAGTATAGAGGAGAAATCCTTGTCACGGAGAGACCTAATTTTTGACTCTTGATCTTCTGATAGGTGAATATTTCCAAGTTATCAAAAACTTACAGCTTGATCAACTGTTGTTGTTGTAACATCAATCGGTAGTTGTTGAAATTGTTCATTATCATTTGAAACCCTAATTTTGATTCATATCAAACAAATTTGTTAAAATTTGTTTGAAAAAAAAAGAAACAAAAATCTTTTTACCAAATAATATTAAATCGTTTAATTTTTGTAACTTGTTCTTTAAACAAAGTTATTAACGCCAATTGAACTTGATTTAATATTCGATGATCCGTTGTTTTACAATCACATACAAAACATACACTTGGTTCTCCAATTATTCCAAATATACGACGTGATCCACTTGTTATAAATGTTAAACGTTTTCGTAATAAATTTAACATCCGTATTAAACGAGAGCGATATTCGCCTAATTTTTCCGGTCGACATGTCAACTAGAAAAAAATGAAGCTAATCACAAAATGAAAGAATAAAAAATTCTCGATCTTACAACATATCGATCACCATTATCATGTTGTATTTCATGATAAATATTACCAGCAT